CCCCAAAACCCCAAAACCCCAAAACCCCAAAACCCCTGAATTATGTTAGATATTTGAAACAATAAAATAATAGAAATGAACCTTAAGAAATTTGACCGTTTCCTTGCCATGATAAATCCTGGAGATGACAAACTCCCTCAACTCAAAAACACCAACAACATTCAAGATATTCCAGGCGCCCAGCCCGACGCTTACGGCAAACTCAGAAAGATCCGTGGACGTGACTACAACAACGTGTCAGACATTGTGGGAGCAAAGCCAAAGCACAAGGAGAGGCCTCCGCTTTATAACAAAGAACAATATTCATTTCAGACTAAAGATGTCAATAGTCAGGGCAAGTAAGGTCATTGTCAAAGACACTAATCCGCTTGATCCTCGCTATATCCTCTCTACAAAATCAGGTAGAAAGCAAATAATCGGTGATATTGAAAATTCTCATCCAAAATAAATACAGAGGAAGACCACTTGGAGTTGATACAAAAAGATCATTAAGAACGGATGACATCATAGGAGCTCAACCATTCTACAAGAAAAATGTAATCCCATTCTTTAGAGAAAAGCAAACTCCTCAAAATATGCATAATAATCAAACGATCAGCAAAGAGATATAAATAATTTACCAAAAAGTAATCTTGCTTCTTCACTAACATCAACTTCAGCTTCCAAATCGGTGAGAAAAACAAAGCGTCAGATATCCCCTTACGAAGAACGCTCTAAAAATGAAATGAGCAAAGTAAGCTCATACGAAGACTTGAACAATGCAAACAAGAGTCGGAGGATCAATATTCTCCCTACATCTCGAAGAAATGTGTCTAATACAATTGAAATTCCAAGTAGTAAGCATTACTCTCGTGTTGACCAGATATACCCCAAAACTACTAAAGCAAACAATTATTCACAAATTATCGTCGATAAGCCAACAGAAGATAAAGCCTTAATGAGCGAATTTAAAAACTTTGTCCAATCTGGGAGTCCGAAATACTCCAAAGATTCCGAGTCAAGAAGGTATTTTAAACCCAATCATGCTCCTACATCAAGAAACAAATTTGAAAAAGACATATCTAAAGCATTTAAGAACATTCAGAAACCTCTAGACAAACAAATTAACAGTTCGATTAGCAAGAACAAGTCAGTTATTATTCCTGAAAAGCCGATCAAATTTAAGAAAACTTCAACCAAGTTAAACTTTTTACTTAAAGAGAGGGCACCATCCAAACCAATAGACCAAGTCCAATTCTCCCTAATTGATACTAGCTTTGGGTCAGCCCATGATCCATTCCCAAGGTCAAAGAGAAAGATCCTTGACAAATCATCAGGAGTCTACGGAAACTTCGCGGTAATGGATACTTTGGACGAGAACCTTGCTCTTCTTGAGAAAAATAAAAACAAGAGTATTATTTATTAACTCATTTTTCAATACTAGTACTTTGAAATGGGGTTTTGGGGTTTTGGGGTTTTGGGG